CCTGTGACGTTCACAGGCGTACTGGCTGCCGTTCCCTGTGACATTCACAGGCGTACTGGCTGCTGTTCCCTGTGATGTCCTGTGGGACCTGAACCCGGGTCTTCCAGTCCAGGGGTAGGGTCACTACCACTGCACCACAATAGCCCTGGTCATCAGTGAACCAGATCGGTTTTGACAAGAATCAGCTGATCACTGTTAGATTTTTATTGAATTCAGATTTCACCTTCTGCCGTAGTGGGATTTGAACATTTGAACATTTACTAGGCCAATGATATTGCCACTACACCACCACCCCCTTACTGTTATGCAGGGCTACTATTCTCTATAATGTTCTTGCTGTGTCAAAATCCTTGAATTTGCTCCCTAATAACAATTGAGGATCTACTTACAGCACACGGACTGCAGCGGTTCAAGAAGGCAGCTCAGCACCACTTTCTAAAGGGCTATTAGGGACAGGCAATACATACTGGACCAACCAATGATGCCCATGTTCCACAAGTGAATAAAAGAAAACATATGCAGGCACATGGTTCTGTATACTGTACACAAGGTTTGCTATTTCTCATAATGTGCACTGAATTCCTGTCTAGTACACTTTGAACATTTCTATGGAAGTAAAATTGGTTTCAATTAAACAACAAAAGCTGCTGGGATATAAAACAGTAAATAAACATGATAGGAGTGAAGGTGCAAATCTAGAAAAGATGCTGCTAAACATTAAAGGCATGTGTGGATATTTGAACTGATTTTCAAGATGCTACGTAATTTATGTTCATTCATAGAATGCAGAGTCAATCCGTCAGGGGTGGGATTTGAACCTGATTGCTGTATTATGTGAAATCTGTAATTTGTGACCGAGTTGATTGTGTTGCTTCTCTGCAGCTTCCAGCTCCATTAGTGAACCATCTACCACCTCAATGGCCCAGACTTGCAAAGCTGACAGTAGTCGAATCAAATCACGAGTCCCTCCAAACATGCCAAAGCTTTTTATCCCATCATCTATGGCAAAGTTTCCACCAGAGATAACCGTCACCCCGCCAACCCCAACCCTCCTGTCGCCAAAAGGTAGTGTGTCTGAGGAAACCAAGCAAAAACTAAAGGTAAGAAATTGTCTGTGACTATTTCCCTTTCCTTGTATAGTGAACCTTGCCTGTGGTTTTTATTTATTTATTCATGGGATATCACTGCCTGGCCAACCAGCATTTATTGCTCATCCCTAGCAAACTGAGAACATTTCAGAGGGCAGTTGAGAGTCAATCACATTGCTGTAGGTCTGGAGTCACATGTAGGCCAGACTAGGTAAAGATGGCAGGTTTCCTTGCCTCAAGGACATTAGTGAACCAGATGGGTTTTTCCAACAATTGGCAGCGGTTTCATGGCCATCAGTAGATTCTTAATCCAGATATTTTTCCTTTACAATTCAATTCAAATTCCACCATCAGCCATGATGGGATTCGAACCCCGGTCCCCTGAACATTAGCTGAATTTCTGGATTAATCGTCTAATGATAATACCACTAGGCCATTACCTCCCCTCGTGTGCATGTGTGTGTTGGGGAAAATGCTGTCATCTCCTTAAAAGTCTCCTAAACTTACCAACAACACTCAAGGATGTGGGCTGTGTTTCAGATATGGTGCCCACTGTCTGAAAAAGTTAAAGGAAAATCTAATGGATATGTTTAATAAACACATGGACTGCTCTTTGCCTGTAACATCTTCAGGACTTGCAGTTCTTTTGCACCTACTGCTGTTAGAAGATCTAGTGGAGCTATTTGATAGAGAGATTCATAACCACAAAGGTTCAGGACAGAATAAATGAGGAAAAGCTGTTCTCAATGGTGGAAGGATAGAGAATGAGAGAGTACAGATTTAAGGTGATTGCAAAAGCGGCAATGGTGACCCAAAGAGAAACTTTATCATGTAGTAAGTGTTTATTATCGGGAATGCACTGCTCAGGACATGGCGAAGTCAGATTCAATCAAAACTTTCAAGAAGAATTGGATTATTATCTGAATAGTAAGAATGTGCCAGGTTACAGTGAGAAAGCAGGAGAATGGCATTGGATAAGTTCCTCATTCAGAGAGCTAGCAGACATGGTGGGTGAAATGTGAGAAATGTGTACAGAACGTGGTACATTCCACAAATTTCATTAGTAACTCAAAGGTAGAATGTACACATACAGTTTTAAGCTTGCAGAAGCATTTTAAACGGGACACGATTGAAATACACCCAGAAAACCAGAACAACTGCTTGAAAGAACATTGGTGGCAATTCAGTGGGAGACGTCAGAAGCAAGATTCTACAGGCACAGTGCAGACATTTATCCACCAAGATTAAGGCTGGTACCACAAAATCTAGACCCTCTGGTTATCCAGAAGCAGACTGGGTAAGATAAAGCAGAAAAATAGAGCTTATGACCATCCCAAACAAGAAATATTTTAAGAAGCTAAGGAGTTGAAGTAAAAAAGGAAATTAGGATATTATTATTATTAAATATTATTAATAAAATCAAGGACAATCCAAAGAGTTTTCTCAGAACGTTGAAAGCAAGAAGATGATGAAGGAAAGGAGGATTGGACCTATCAGTATATGGTCACTCTGAGGAGAAATATGATGTGGGCAGGTTCATTTAGAATGAGTATTTTGTGTCTGTCTTCACAAAGGAAAGGGATGAAGCAGAGGAGGAGTGTGAAGTATGAGATAAAATAGCAGAATGAAAAGGGAAGTGTTGGAGCAGCTGACCACCTTGTAGGTGGATAACTCACCAGGGTGGATAAATCATATCCCAGTCTGTTAAAGGAAGCCAATGAAGAAATAGGGAATGCTGTGAAGATCATTTTTCAATCCTCAGGAGATGAAGGTGAGAAACCAGAGGATTAGAGCTATGTGAACATTGTACATTGGGCAAATTACCAGAATCAGGACTATGATACTTGGAAAGGCACAGATTAATCAGGAACAGTCAGCACAGTTTGTTAACAGAAGATTATGACTTCCTAACTTAATTCAATCATTAATTTAGTTGAAGAATTTAAGGAAGTAACAAGGAGGATTGATGAGGGTTGTGTGGTGGATGTTGTCTACATGGATTTTAGTCAGGTATTGACAAGGCCCCACCTGGGAGACTGGTTGGAAAACTAAAGCCCAAGTGATACAGCGATTGGGGTGAGCTGGATTTAAAATGGACTTAGTGACAGGAAACAACGGGTAATGGTGGAGGGACGCTCATCTGAATGGAAGGCAAAGGTGTTCCACAAGGCTCAGTGTTAGGTGCCTTGCTATTTATGGTATATTTTAATGATTTATAATTAAATGTAAGAACGTGATTGGGAAATTTGTAAGCAGCGTTTGATAGTGAAGAGGAGGATGGCTGACAATTGCAGGACGGTATCAATAATTTCTTTGTCTGAATATCATTTGTCACTTTTCATCCCAGTCTGGAGAAGTGTGGGGCTATGCCTTTAGAGAGTGCAAGCAAAGCAAGAAGAACACCCAATAAATGAGAGGGTAATGAGAGACAAACTGAGAGATCTGGGAGTGCATGTCTACATGTCCCTGGTGAGACAGGTAGAGAAACTGTTCACTAAGACATGTGGGATACTTCTCCTCATTGGATCATAAGGCTAAACAGTTCCTGCATTATAAGACACTGGAGTTAGCGTTCTCTGTATAGTTCTGGTCACCACATTACACGAAGGACTCATTTACTCCCTAGTGTACACAGAGGAAACTTATAAGAATGGTGCTCGGACTTGAATCTTGCAGCAATGATGAAACATTGGACTGCTGAGAGGTGTTTCCGGACAAAGGATGAGGATGAGGGGTGACTGAATAGAGATGTGCAAAATAATGAGGGGCTTGGAAACCCTGCACGGGGGAAACCTGTTTACCCCAGGATAGAGGGCAGTGAGGAGGGTCACACGTGTTTAAAGTGATTGATAAAAGGATTTGGGGGCGTGACATGAGCTGAATTGTTTTCACGTAGTGGATGGTGGGTATCTGAAATTCACTGCCCAGTTCAGTGAGAAACCCTTAACTTATTTAAGTGGGACCTGGATCTCTGGCTGGAGCCTGCAGAGCTACAAAGCAGGTGCTGGAATGTGGGATGAAGATACATGGCTTGTTAATTCAGCTAGTGTAGACATAATGGGTTGAATGGCCTCTTTCTGTTCTGTATCCATTGTACGATTTCTCTCTCAATCATATTGAGAAGGTTGACAGTGATGGAGACTTGCAGCAGTCATCACTAATTGGGACTAAATTGGCATCTTCAACCAGAGAGTGTATTATTGCGCCGTGAAGGAGAGTTTTATTTGTGCTTGTGTGAAAGATGGTGTTTACACAAAGGTAACATTGAAAGTACAGTGGGGTTTTGGCATGAATGATAGCTAACAGACAGTATTGTGAGACAACAAAGTGCAGAGCTGGATGAACACAGCAGGCCAAGCAGCATCATAGGAGCAGGAAGGCTGATGTTTCGGGCCTAGACTCTTCATCCTACTATCCCTGCACCCAGTATTGTGGTGTCTTTAAGTGTTTGCAATTAACATAATCAATGTTTTAAGATCTCCGTGGTTTATTTGTGGGCATCTTTTGGGTCATGTATAATGTTTTCCACACAAATCTACCCCACCATTAGTTAATGTAGTCAGGTTTCTTGTGACTACAAATAAACCGTTACTGTTATCTTCACTTCATCAAAGGCGTGTCCTCTGCCCACAGTGCTGGCTGTTGAGACTCCCATTTTTTGATATTCTAACTTTGTTTACTCAGTCTTCACTGTGTCAATGCTCTGAGCTAATGCCTGCTTTTCCTGTTTGCTTTCAGACTGCCATCCTATCAGCACAGTCAGCTGCCAACGTGAAGAAAGAGACTCTGTGCCAGCCAGCCTTGGAAATCCTGGAGACGTCGAGCCAGGAATCGTCACTGGAGAGTGACACCGATGACGAGGAAGACGATTACATGGACATCTGACACAGTGTGAATCCCCTAAGTTACAGCAGTAGGCAGCCAACCACTGCTCTCCTGAAGAAACGCCTTGGGAATATTGTTTTCTCTGAGACCATGGAAGTGCACAGTACTTTATACAGAGCAGCCCGGAACAAGGTGCAACGATCTCTTACCAGCATTGGCCTTTGTAAATATTAGATGCATCTCAGCGGTGAAGGCAGACAAGCTAAGCTGCATCACCGGGCTCCTTGTTTGATTTGTGCTGACCTGGAGAGATGACTCTGACTTTGCTCAAACACAAGCTGGTGATTCATTGTATAGGAACAGATTTCATTAAGAACATACCTCTCACAGAGTGGTCACCAGCTCTCTCGCAGCTCAGTTTTTGGGTGGGAGAGCTGGGTCAGTGAAGGCCCATTTCACTCATTGTGGAAATACCAGGAACAGCAATGTTTTAGTGGAAGGCGTAATGCTGGAAATATGAACTCAAAGCAGCAAATGCTGGGAATGAGCAGCAGACTGGTTTACTTCTGAGAAGAGAGTTTGTGGGGCGGTGGGAGGGGTGCTGCGGGGGGAAGCAAGAGAGAGAGTGTCTTTGAACACCAGGAAGACTCAGAGACCTGCTGGCTATTTCCAACGTTTTCCTGGTGCCTCATTGTGTCTATATTTTTCCTAACTTTTGTTAAGCCCTCCTCAGATAGAACTCTGGGTTGTTTATAGTGTGGGGAGCACAGAAAGGATTGGAACTTGCTTACCTTTACTGCTAACTTTCAGCCTTTGTGCAGTCGGATTGGATTGCTTTAAGAAAAAGAGCTTATTTACCCTGCTGTCCTGCAGAGTGACTGATGTCAGGCATTGTGTCAATCTGAATTGGTTTGTAACAGATCTCACCCTTTCATACTGAATCTCCACATTTTATTTCCCAGTCATTCATTTCAATGAGAAATGTTGGTTTCTGTTGTTGGAGGTTAGTTGTGAATGTAGAAAGGGGCACACTGTACAGCCTGTTAGCCAATTCTGCTGTCAATTTCTGATTTCACTGTCAAAGCAAATCACTTACCAGAACACACAGCGGGATATTGGAACACGCTCCAGAATGAGAAGGTTGTGATTTTTGAGGTAATTGTAAGACTGCATAGGGGATGTAGAAACTTCCTCTGGTTAAAAACCTCTCACCATTGGTCTGTTCTGGGATGTTGATCAGGAAGCTGCTTAGCTGAAGAGCAAAGTTCACCCGTTAACCTTGTGATCTGGTGACTCTCTGCAACAAGCATTGAGAGCTCCGCGTCAGAGGGCCCTCCAGATCAGTCCTTGCAGATAGGCTCATAATGACGCCTGCATGTTACCAATCACAGGCTTTGTGCAGTAATAGTGCCCAGCAGTTATCAAGACTGATATGTAACTTTGGTATACAGGACTGGTAGTATTCCCACTCGTGTCAAACAGGAAATTGTTACCCACAAATGGTTAATGCATGTGACAGCGATAATGTCCATTAACATGGAACTGCCCCACCTTCATTCCAGTCTAACTCTCACTCGGAGCCAACTCTTGTGTCAGTTTGACTTCATCCTGCAGCCCTTAGCAGGTCGATACTTTGTGGATTAATGAACTGGGCGTGTGAGATGGTGTGAGAGAGCATCAGTCCATCTAGGACCTTGGGGAAACAGTAGGACTGACGGCTTATCTGTTTAACCATGTGAGATTTGAGGTTTGAAGGACAAATGGGAATGATTGTGAAACGGGACAAGATAAAATTCAAATCATGCATGGATAGTGAAATAGGTTGGATTAGTGAGTGGGAAGGAAAATTCAGGAAATAACATGCGTAGAATTTGAATCTTTTTAAAGCTTTTTAGAAATTACTATGCACAGAGTTGAGACTCTCTCAGTGTCCCCTTTCTGAACCGCAGAACTGAATTGGCACGATCACCTTCTCAAAAACATATTTATACCGTTAATGATGAGCCTAATTTTTTTATTTGTACGTTAACCTAACCATAATGTGCATATCTAGCAAGGTCTTAAAAATAATGTGTGGCTTAATGGCAAGATCTAGTTAGCATGAAGCTAAACTACTTAATGACATTAAATCAACAACACATTCTGGAGATTCACAACTGGCATCATATTTCTTGACCCCCTCAATAAACTGGCCAATGTAATAAAAATGTATGTGTTAATACAGTTGCCTTTCCTGAAAAGTCATGCCCCACAGTCTAAATCTACGTTTATATTTCCAAAGAGAGCTGGAGCTGGGTTGTGTCTAATGAGTAAAGTTACTTTTAATATACCCTTGTGAATGATGGGGTTATAGTATGGGTTTTAAGAGCACAACGCTGAATATATTTTCCCTGAAGTCCTGAACGAGCTCTGTGACAGTGTATGACCCCACAGATTTATAATCTCTCACATTGAGCAGCAGATCATTAATTATCGAGCAATGAAAGATTGAACCAAAGTTGTTCATTATTTATTGTGCACCAGAATCTGAGATTCCTGTAAAGAGTTGAAGGAATTCTGCCAAATGTGCCATCCCAGAATCAATTGTCTTGCCCATTTATTATAATAAACTGATTTTGAGATCAGAACCATTTCATTTTCACATCGTTTATATTGTGAAGCACCTACAGCATTTGTGGCACTAATGTCTTCCTAAAGTTCAGCTCAGTGCTCCTGGGCACCATCCTGCTCCCACCCAGAACCCTCTGATTATATAAAGGATGGATTGGCAGCTCCGGTAATCAGAACCCAGGCACCCTATTGGTGCACTGAGACAGTCACACTTGTCTCTGTCTGGGAGTGTTCACGCAGCTACAGAGCATCTCTGGTTGGGAGAGGGGAGACCATGTTTGTCTATAGCACAAGAGTCTGCATATGTATAGCAACTTGTAATCTAGTAGAGAGGCTACACATGGAGCAGTTATTAAACAGGGTTTAACACTGAACCACACAGGACCCGTTAGCAAAGAGGAAGATTTTAAGATCATATTAAAGAAGGCAGAGAGAAGTTAAAAGAGGAATCTCCCAAACTTAAGATTTAGGTAGCTAAATGCACAGATGCCAGTGCTGGAGTGATGAAAATCCGGATTATTCAAAGGCTAAACTTGAAGCACTACAGAGATCTCAGCAGTGATAGAATGGCAAATAAAAACCGGAAATAATTGGTGCTTGAGACTTCCAGGATTAACAGCACAATAGGGTGCTGCTTAGGAAGACCTTTGTTTGAGTCAAAGCCCCCTTGTGACCAGCAATCCTGGTGGCAGATGCTCCACTCAGTCCAAAAACAAACTGACAGAATCAGCTTTCTGTAAAGTGCTGTTGAAATGTGCATTGACTTTAGTAACATCAAAGCTTAGACGTACACACTTCACCATTTCGGTTACACAGGACCCTGTGCATGCACACACACTGAGGAATTGCTTGTTGCTGCACCCATTATTCAATCCACAAACTCAGCAAGACCCCCCTCTCCCCATGTGGATAGAATCAAGTGGCAGCAAGTTCTGACAGCACTGGATTTGTGTAGAGCTGGATCTCAGGCTGTGGGAGCAACTTGACATTCTCATGTTGCAGCAGGCTCGAAGGGCTGAATGGCCCCTAACTCTGTCTCCCCTTTTTTCTATGATTCTAGTTATGCCCAGTTTCTCTTATTGCTTCGCCTCAGAATATGAGGTGATTTTAGGAAGAGAGGTGTGAAAACGTACAGTTCAGCATCTAAGCATCGCTTTGTGGTCAGTGGGACCTGATCTGTGTATTTTATCTGTGGTGCAGATTACACAGGGTCAGAGACAGGTTTCACTCACTCTAACACCATGAGGCTTTATCCTCACTTCTCCAAATGATGCTAGTGCTGCTCACAAACTCAAGAGTCGCTGCTCATTCCAGACATGACGAATACTTCATTAGTTCAATAGTTATTGATTTCTGGGGTAATGGGGCTTGTCCTGAGGAGAGACTGAACCCACAGTCTCAATAAGTTGAAATGTTTGAACATCTTAGAGGGCTCGACAGTGTAGATACTGGGAATCGGGTTAATGAGAAATTGGCGGAAAAGCACATTTATGAACATACAAATTGTTCAACCTTTTGAGCCTACTGTGCTATTCGCTAAGATCATGTGTAATCTGATTGTGACTACAACTCCACATGCTGACCTATATCATTTTGAGTCCCTTGTTAGTCATGAATCTGATTATCTCTGGCTTAAAAAATATTTAATGATCCTTCCTCTAAAATTTTGAGGAAGAGAGCTCAGAAAAAACTCTCTCGTTATCCCCGTCTTAAATTGGCAATCTCTTTATTTTTGAAACTGTGCCCTGTGGGTCTAGGCTTTCCAACAAAGGGAAGCATCTTTTCCATTATCCACCTGTCAAGTGCCCTCAGGACCTTCTATGTTTCGATAAGATCACCTCTCATTCTTCTAAACTGCAATAGATATAAGCCCAACCTTCCCTCGTAAGATGATAACCCCCTTTTACTGTGAATATATCTTTTTTAAACACAGTACTCCAGATGTGCTCTTACCAATGTCCTGTACAACTGTAGCAAAACATCCCAGATTATACAGGAGCAACTTACTACAGATGCTGGAATCTGTACCGAAAACAAAAAATGCTGGAGATCACAGTGGGTCAGGCAGCATCCATAGAGAGGGAGCAAGCTAACGTTTCGAGTCTAGATGACTCCCTGCTGATATATCCCACACCCACTTTGCAACAAACAGGGATTTCCACTTGCCTTGACAGTTACCTGTTGTACCTGCCTTGTAACCGTTTGTGATCGGTGGACCAGAACACCCTGATTACTTTGTACCTCTGAGTTCTGCAATCACCCCCTGCTTCACTAATATGCTGCTTCTCTGTTCCTCCTGCTGAAATGGATGAGCGTTTTGATTGTTCGTAGAAGGTCAGCCATGGTCTTTGTTGAGTTCCAGAGTGTCTGAGGGACAGTATGTCCTACTTTGTTCCTATTTCTGTTTGTATTACCACGAAGCAGCATCTGATTAGCTGCTGCATACCCTCCTCCTCAGCCTGATCATCACCAAGTACCCTTCTTTTAAAAGCCTCCTGTTCTGATTGATCCCATTCTTACTCCCTGCTCAGCTTCTTTTGTCACCAGCACTGTCTGAGCTCTCCCCTGGGGACGGTTGCTGTGCCCTGAAGGTGGGGACTACTGGAGGTCTAGTTTCTTGAACAGCAGATTGTAATTACAAGCAACGGGGTTCCCCAGCCCTCAACTTTCTCATAACTTTCCCCAGTTTCTCACCAAGGGGGTGGCACGGTGGCATGGTGGCTCAGTGGTTAGCACTGCTGCCTCACAGTGCCAGGGACCTGGGTTCAATTCCACCCGGGGGCGACTGTCTGTGTGGAGTTTGCTCATTCTCCCCGTGTCTGCGTGGGTTTCCTCCAGGTGCTCCGGTTTCCTCCCACAGTCCAAAGATGTGCAGACTAGGTGGATTGGCCATGCTAAATTGCCCGTAGTGTTCAGGGATGTGTAGGCTAGGTGGGTTAGCTGTGGGAAATGTGGGTTACAGAGGTGGAGTAGGGAGGTGTGGGTCTGAGTGGGATGCTATTCGGAGGGTTGGTGTGGACTCAATGGGCCGAATGGTCTGCTTCCACACTGTAGGGATTGTATAATAACCAGTAAGAACAGAACAGATCAGAATTTCATTCAGGAACAAAGAGCAGACCATTAACCTCTTGAGAGATTTGAGATCAGTACTCAAGAACGTGGAGCTGTTTAAATTCTTTCCTAAGATATAAATATCACCAGCAAGAGCAGAATTTATTGCCCATCCCACTGGCTCTTGAGCTGTGTCCTGCTTTGTCGGTGCAGAGGGAAATGCAAGTTAACAGTATTGCCGTGGGTCCGGAGTCGCATGTAGGCCAGATTTTCTTCCTTAAAGGGTACAGTGAACCAGATGAGTTTTTCGGTGCCAGCATTAGTTGCAGAATTAAATTGCAATTCTACCAGCTTGCTGCTGTAGAATTTGAACCTGCACCAGAGCATTAGCCTGAGCCTTTAGATTACTTGTCTAAGTGTAATTACCACCACACCACCATTAACCCTTTCAATGTTCTGATTGAACCAACCAATTATCTGTTCATGTTCTCATTGCTGTTTATAGGAGCTTGCTGTGTACAAATCAGTTGCTGCGGTTCCCCACATTTCACAAAAGTTTAATTGATTCAAGTACTTTGAGGTGAAATGAACTCATGAAAGGTGCTATGTAAATGCAAGTTTGTTCCTTTCCTTTGTTGGAACAATTGGAGTGTAGGAAAGGAGGGGTTAGCTTTTGGATAGCTTGCACAATAATCTGAATTTTTGGAGATGTTTGCTACAAGGTCCGAAGAGAAGTGTTTGTACTTGAATATCTTGGAGAAACGTAAGATATATGCTCGTGATTCCAAGCTACTGGATCCAGTTATTACGGAATGTCTTTTTATATTGTATTTTTTTTAAGGGCTTCTGCATATCGAGTGTTCACTTGTACATTTTTACAAGAAGTGTTCTTAAAACCATGTTATCGCTTAGCTGCAAAAAAAACCAATTGAAGTGTTGGGCCTTTACTATTGAATGTTCTGTCACAGGAATGATCTCTGCTTTTCTTTTATATGCAATGTTTTAACCGTAAAGCTATTCCGATTTAAACCCTTGTACATAAAAAGAACATTTTGTTTTGGAAAAGCAGGAAATCTGTTACAGTATTCGCATGTGAAATGATACCAGCTGAAGGCAGCTAGTAATAAAACCAAACGTTCCTATCCCTGCAGTCAGACTGGCTGTTGGAAGGTGCCAGCCTGACAGTTTGTGTCTTTCTTTACTTTGTGTTCGCTCAGGCACCTCAGCCAAATGATTAATTTCCTCTACCTGGAGGAAAGGAGCAGTCAACGTTTCGGGTATTACCCTTCTTCAGGACTGGATGTGGGAGCTGCAGATAAAGGGGGTGGAGGGGTAGAGGTGGAATGGGTGATGCTAGTAGGTATGACCCAGGGTTGGTCGATGGCAGGGATAAATCCCATTGGTGGCTGGAAGGGAGGGAGGAGGTGGGGCTGGAAAGGGAGCTGGGGGATGGATGGGGAGGTTATTTGAATTTGGAGAACTCGCTATTGACTCCTCCGGACTCGAGGGCGCCCAGGCGGAAGATAAGCTGTTGTTCCTCAAATTTGCGCTGTGAGTCGCTGTGATACTGGAGGAGGGCAAGGACAGACATGTCGCAGGGGGAGGGAGACAGGGAGGCTAGGTTGGCCGTTACGGGCCAGGCGAAGATGCTCGGTAAAATTGTCACTTAGTCTGTGTTTCATCTCATCGATATAGAGAAAACCGCACTGGGTGCAGTAGACCAGGTTGAAGGAGATGCAGATAAAGCTCTGTCTCACCTGGAAGGACTGTTTAGGGCCCCGATGGAGGTGCTCCCGCTGTGGTCTTCTCAGTGAGACCAAGTGTAGACTAGGTGACTCCTTTCCTCCAGATGCTGCCTGGCTTGCTGTGTTCTTCCAGCCTCCTGTTGGTCTCCCTTGGATTCCAGCATCTGCAGGTTTTTTTTTTGTCTCATTTCCTACACCAGCTACAACTGACATATACTGCCCTAGAAGGTGTGAGAGAGGGAAAAATTCTTGCCCTATCAATCTGGCCTGAGCGAGTATCCTGATACTGGAGCACACTCTGGGTTGTGAGATCTGCTCATTCACTCATACATGTGCCAAGCTCAATAATCCATAGCTCCAACACGTGGCCGTATAATCCCTACACTACGGGAAGAGGTCATTCAACCCACCACTCACCCTCTGAAGAGTATCCACCCGCTTGTTGACATAACCTGCACACCTTTGGACTGTGGGAGGAAACCAAAGCAGATACAGGGAGAATGTGCAAACTCCATTGTCACCCAAGGGTGGAGTCGAACCCGGGTCCTTGATGCTTAGAGGTAGCAGTGCTAACCACTGAGCCGCCCATGGTACCTATAAGCTAGCCTCCCAGGTGTGGTCCCTGAAGGTTTGTTTTTATGTTTAATATGTGTCTGGGTTACTTTGAGGCACTGGAGCCTTCCTTCCCTGTAGCTGCTGCATTAGCTTGATGTTCATCTCACATCCTTCCCACCCCACCCAGTCACTATTGGAGACATGAGACAAGCTGTCTCCCTCTCTTCCCAGATTACAGTTTGAGTAGAATTCCCCTTCAACCTCCGTCAATAAATAAGAGCCCTCTCCAGCCGATTACTTCCTTCTGTTGCATGTCCCTTGACCGTCACAAAAAGGCTCATCATCTCATCATTGGATCAAAAGCTCTCTTTGCAGGCCTTATCACATTCTCCAACTGTTTGGTTACTGAGGCAGAACACTCACAGCCCCTTTGCCTGAGCCCAGCAGCAGCTCAGACCTGAGGACTATTCCAATCCAACTTGGTCAATTCTCTTCCTGCGAAGTAGGCAAACCAGATGATCTTGGGAAAGCAAAAAGTGCTGGAGATCACAGCAGGTCAGGCAGCATCCATGGAGAGAGAGCTAGCTAATGTTTTGAGTCTAGATGACTCTTTATCAGAATTGAGGTGGAGTGTGGAGGAGGCAGCTATAGTAGGTGGGTGGAGTGCAATCTCACTGAGGGAAGTGAGGAAAGACAGTGTGAAGACTCTCACAACATCTTCCCATTGCTCCTTAACAATGGGGTTATTCTGCAAATGTTGCACCTCAAGGAAAGCCAGGAATATACAAACCAGTCAGCTAAAGCTTTTGAGATATTAATCTGAGGCAAACTGAATTGTCACATAAGGAATGGGTAAATCAATAAAACTTACTGACAATTTGTTAAAGACAGGTTTGACTAAATCAACTGAATTCTTTGATGAAATGACAAATCAAGTTCTGCAGTTCTAACGTTCAGAGACATTCTGGATCCTGGCTCCAGGGAGGCAACACACCATCTTAGAGTCTCTTTTACATCCACAGAAGCGCCTATCTGTACCCCTAACTATAGAGTCCCCTGTAACTACTGCTCTAGTGCTGTTTGTCCTCCCCTTTTTCAGAACAGAGCCGGCTGTGGTGTTACAGGCACTTGATAACAGCCCCTCTACAAACCACCTTCTGGAAAGCAGTGACTGCACTGATGCAGATCTTCCCCACTTCAGCCAATCACGGCACCACTCTGCTGCCCTCTTCAAGGTCATGGTTGTTGGAGGTCAGTAATCTCAGCTCCAGGGTACCTCTGCAGGAGTGGCACAGTAACTCAGTGACTGTCTGTGTGGGTTTCCTCTGGGTGCTCCAGTTTCCTCCCACAGTCCAAAGATGTGCAGGTTAGGTGGATTGGCTATGCTAGATTGCCCATAGTGTTCAGGGACATGTAGATTAGGTGGATTACAGAGAAAAGGTAAGGGGATGGGTCTGGGTGGGACGCTCTGAGAGTCGGTGTGGAATTTATGGGCCAAAGGGCCTGTTTTCCACACTGTAGGGATTCTATGAGTTCCTCAGGGTAGTGTGCTAGGCCCAAACATCCTCAGCTGCTTCATCAATGACCTTCCCACTGTCATAAGGTCGGAAGTGGGGATGCTCGCCAATGATTTGCACAATGTTCAGCACCATTCACGAGTCCTCAGATACTGAAGCAAAGTCTGGACAATATCCAGGCTTGGGCTGACAAGTGGCAAGTAACATAGAGTCCTACAGCACAGACGCTGGTCCATGCCGACCAAAATGTCCATCCATGCTAACCCCATTTCCCTGCATTTGGCCTATATACTTTTAAACCTTTCCTTTCCAGGTATTCAACCAAATGTTGTTAATGTACCTGCCTCAACCATTTCCACTGCCAGCTCATTCCACATGCGTACCACCCTCTGTGTAAAAAAAGTTGCCCCACCCCACCCCACACTACCCAGGTTCCCATCTATTCTTTCCCCTCTTACCTTAAACTGATGCTCTCTAGTCCTCGATTCCCCAACCCTGGGAAAAAGACTGAGTACATTCATCCTATCAATGCCACACAATGCCAGGCAATGACCATCACCAAAAGGACAATCTAACCACTATCCCTTGACATTCAATGGTGTTACCATCACTGAATCTCCCACTTGGGAGTTACTATTGACCAGAAACTCAGCTGGGTTCATCACATAAACACAATGGCTATTAAAGCAGGTCAGAGGCTAGGAATACTGCAGCGAGTAACTCACCTCCTGACTCCTCAAAGCCTGTCCACCATCTACAAGGCACAAGTCAGGAGTGTGATGGAATGCCCCCCATTTGCCTGGATGAGTGCAGCCCCAACAACACTCAAGAAGCTTGACACCATCCAGGACAAAGCAGCCGCTTGATTGGTACCACATCCACAAGCATCCACTCCCTCCACCACCGACGCTCAGTAGCAGCAGTGTGTACTATCTACAAGATTCACTGCAGAAATTCACCAAAGATCCTCAGACAGCACCTTCCAAACCTGTGACCACTTCCATCTAGAAGGTCAAGGGCAGGAGATATATGAGAACAACATCTCCTCCAAGTTCCCCTCCAAGCCACCCACCACCCTGACTCAGAAATGTATCCTTCACTGTCACTGGGTCACAATCATGCGCAGGAAAGTGGATGTAAGGAACCTCAGAGCAGCCATGATTCTATTGATCAGCACAGCAGGCTCGGGGGGCCGAATGGCCTACTCCTGCCCTATTTCTTATGATTTTATTACAAATACAGAGTAATACACTCATATATATGCACTCATATGCATTCACACACCCATAGATACGTACAGATACATGTGCACACAGGCAGCATTTGGACACACTAAGACCTGCAGCAGAAATGCAATGTTTATTTGGAAAGCTGGATTTAGTGAATTGACCGAAGAGGTATCAACATAAATCAATGTATGACAAATTAAACTGAAGCCTTTCAGACACAGTGGCTGTCTGAGGAGCTGGAGCAGTGCTGGGTGGGGGCAATGTGGAAAGTGAGAAATGGGAAAGGGTCAGGAAAACATGTAATGACACAATCAGTGCACCAGATGGAGCCAGAGAGATATACAGCATGAAAACAGACCCTTCGGTCCAACTTGTCCATGCTGGCCAGATATCCTAAATTAATCTAGTCCCATTTGCCAGCATTTGGCCATATCCCTTTAAACCCTTCCTTTCATATACCCTTCCAGATGCCTCTTAAATGTTGTAATTGTACCAGATTCCACCACTTCCTCTGACAGCTCAAGTTGCCCCTTAGGTCCCTTTTAAATCTTTCCCCCCTCACCTTAAACCTGTGCCGTCTGGTTTGGACTCTCCTACCCTGGGGAAAAGACCTTCGCTGTTCACCCTATCGATGCCCCTCATGATTTTATAAACCTCTGTAAGGTCACCTCTCAGCCTCCGATGTTCTGAGGGAAATAGCCCCAGCCTATTCAGCCCCTCCCTAAAGCTCAAACCCTCCAACTCCACCAACATCATTGTTATTCTTTTAAGAATCTTTACAACTACATCCTTCCCATAGCAGGGAGACCAGAATTGTACACTATACACTAAAAGTGGCCTAACCAATGTCCTGTACAGCCGCAACACAACCTCCCAACTCCATAATCAATACATTAACCAATAAAGACAAGTATACCCTGTATAGCTGCAACTCCAATTTCAAAGAACTATGAATCTACACCCGAAGCAACACTCTCCACGACCTTACCATTAAGTGTATAAGTCCTGCCCAGATGTGCCTTTCCAAAATGTAGCACCTCACATTTATCTAAATTAAACTCCATCTGCCACCCTTGAGCCCATCTGATCAAGGATAGAGAGACACCCAGTTCTGTCCAGGGAAGATCAACATTGTCAG